ACGAGAATGTACTAACCTCCTCCAACCTCTGCCTGTACTGATAGCTCTCATCATGAAGTAGTTTTATTTTAATAACGAGAATGTACTAACCTCCTCCAACCTCTGCCTGTACTGATAGATCTCATCATGAAGTAGTTTTATTTTAATAACGAGAATGTACTAACCTCCTCCAACCTCTGCCTGTACTGATAGATCTCATCATGAAGTAGTTTTATTTGACTGTGAAGTTCAACATCTTCTGAATCTTTCCTGGACTTCTTTAAAGGTTTCAAAGTGGCTCGGGCACACCTCTCTCCCGCATTGGGATTTCTCTTGAGTTCAAAAAGCTATAAATGTCTTTGGAGTGAGATATCTCGGATACAAAATAATACTAACCAAGAAAGAGCAATAATTCGGCTTTAATTACAAAAGAAAAATTATATGACACTTAACTTTTGATGGAGTAAATTTAACATGTTTAAGTGTAATACACACATTAAGAAACCAATATTATTTGAATTCCTCTTTTTTAGAAGTATAAGATAATTAACGAATAGGATTTTTGGCCCAGCATGTCCAGGTGGTTAGGGCGCTCGACTCGTAATCTGAGGGTCGCGGGTTCGAATACCCGTCACACCAAACATGGCCTTTGCCTGGTCCCAAGTCTAGGATGAGAAAGGAGGAGGGTTGGGACTTCATTAGTTTAACGCAGATCAAAAATTTAGTCGTCTCAATTACATTAAAGGTTTTACATACAAAGAAATTTTCAACAAGATAACATTATATACTTTTCCCCCTCTGGAAGCTGGCTTTACACGTTTCGGTGTTCTTACGTCACCATGTTCAGGTGTAAAAGTCGAAGTTCAATCGTGACATATATATACGTATACAACTTTTACTCCTGAAGATGGCGGTATAAGAACACCATAGTTTTGTTAGGGCTGGTCCCTACTTCTAATAAAGTATTTATTGTGCAATTATTTCAACGTTGCACTCATCTTAATTTTTTAACTCAAAGTTGGTTACAAAACATATCCTTTTTGAAATCCATTTCTAGTTCCTTACAACTACTGTACTCGTTAAATAATTTTCTTATGCTAATCTCAGTGAAACTCTTGAATCCATGACATCTCCTACTAAATCTAATTTACTCTGTGTGTATTATAATGGAAATTATAGTTTTAACAAAATAGTGTTAATCTTGGTAAAACTCTTAAATCTGTGATATCTCTGTCTCTCTAAATCTCATTTACTCGGTGTACTACAAGGAGACTTATCGTTTTTCATAAACTATTTTTACAATACCCAATTTTTGATTATTATTATACGCCGAAAATCAAAGGATAAATAAATCAGGTGTTTAAATGTCTAAATGCTTCATAATCATTGAAAAATTGATTAAAGAATTCCGGGCTACACATTGAAGTAAGATAAAACTCTTATTTGGAGCTATGATTGTGAAATCAATGCAACGGAAATTACCGACTGAAACATTCAACTCAAACACTCTGCCATTAGTAACTTCAAAAGTGAAAAGCTTCAAATTATCAACAAACTAACATCAGTGATTAAATCAGTAGAACACGTATGAGAAACTTAGATAAATATGATTAGAACTCCAAATTGCCCATAAATAAAAAGGGCTAGACAGTAAGTTACAGGGACTTAGAAAGGACTTTATGTAGAATAAGGAAGCTTTGCACCAATAGAAACCTGACTCTAGTTTATATTCCTTCTTGTATAGCGCTAACTGAGTTTCAAACGGCTCCCTCACAATAATGTGTGAAACTTGTTATTCTACCTAAAGAGCGTCCTGGGTTTGAAATTAAAGCTAAACTTTAAAATCTCTTTCACACGTTTGCAGTGGAACTTAAAGCTCAAAAGCTAACTACATTATGACGAAGAATCTCCTGAGAATACGAAACGATGTACTGAGAAAGTTGACGTCAGTGAAAATATTAATTATCTTCTTTTCTAATTGAGCAATTGAGTTTACAGTAGAGATAGTGTTTGAGGAGAAAATTTTCGCTTGATCCCACACACTACTAAATGTTAAGAAATTATATCTCGAGCCTACAGGAATTAACTGCCCTAAAAGAGCTTAGAACACATTATAATAGAATAATCTTTAAAGCTGATAAGAGCAATGTAGTTTTAGTAATAGTAAAAATAGTTTATCATGGTAAAATGCCGAATAACGTGTATAAGGGTTCTCATTACAAATTGCTAAACAACAATCGTACCGCAGCTAGGAGGAGAATGCTGAACAGATTATTATTACTAGACTTTAAAAACTATATTACATATGTAACAAACTGTATCTGTAACTAAGAACTACCGATGACAGAACCCCATAATTATATTATTAAATTATATTTTAATAGTTTCTAATAACATAAGCAAAAATTTGACCTAACTTCTTTTTTTTTGTGTATTTTACATTTATCCATTTCTGTATTTTACTCAGAAACTCACAGAGTTTGATCCCACTGTTAACACTGTAAACTTTTGATGTTTCGTCCTTATTTACTAATGTGCCAGTTCAAGTTTCTTTGACGTTTCTTTGAAAACACTATAGAAGCCTCAAAAGTTGTCTTTTCTGTCAAATCGTAGATAAGTCAGAAGACTACTATTACACTAACTAGTTTTTTGTACTATGGTAGAAATTATCATCAAGTTGAGAACATCTCTATGGATAGTCCTACTGCACCTGTTCTTACTACTGTCTTCATGTCAAGAACATAAACCATTTTTCGACAAATCTTTATTTTAATTTTTAAAAAGAAATATAGTACTGGTTTTTGAGATAGTGTAGTCTTGAGTTTAACTCACATTTTTCATTCACACCATGTCCTAGTAGGAAAAATAACATCCTGAAATTTCCAGTAACGATATTTATTAAGTTAGACTTCAGGAACATAAACACATACCATTTTATATGTTTGAATATTTATGTAAATGTAAAACCTTGATCTACAGAAAATAATCTGATTGGAAGCTCTACTACTCAAGTTCCATGATCCAAGTATTAACAAACATCCCAACTCACCGCTATGTGTTTTTTAAAACGAGTCTTCTCTAAATCAATAAAATGACTTATATGATAGCAATACGCGAATCTTATTGGTCAGCTTTGAAGAGATAAAAATCCAGTTCTGCCGTTTTCTATTCTTTTTTACACCTAATAATGCTGAGAACTCACTGAAACGTTGTTTACATTGTTTTTTCTCCTAATGAAAGCTCGTGTTATTATCCTTTATTCTCTACTAATACACGAAACGTCTCAATTGTGTGATTTTTAGTCATTAAAGGTTGAATGAAAGCAATATATCTGACAATGAAAGTGCAGCATAGTTAATGATAATAACGAAACCTTAAGATAATACTTCAAAGTGAAAGTTATAAATTTATTTGACAATCGTGCAGGAGTGTTTTCAAAGTTAATATGAAATAAGATTTACCATCAAACCGTGCAAAGTTAATGACATTTAGCTGCTTTATTAGACACCTCTCCCCCTATTAGGTACAATAATATTCTAATACTGAAACCCAAATGGTGGGAATGCTTATACTATTGGACTATAATGTAAGGACAGAAGTTAATGAGAAAGAACACAAAAAACAAGTGATGTTGAGATTGGAAAAGAAGGATGAATTATTATGAATATTAATACTTATATTAACTAACCATATTAATGTGGCAACATAAAATAGCAATGCACTTGTAAAAGAAGACTTTGGGAATATAAGAAAGGATACAGTAAAGTGAAAGACAACATTTAGAATTTAACGATATAAAATAATTAATCGAATAAAAATAATAGAAAATATGACTCTGATACATCATAAACTTGTTTTTTTTTATGAATCAGGAAGGTTGGCAACAGCAATTCTCACAATGAAGTAAATCGTTCCGAACGGACGTGTTTCATTCTCATTTACATTTGTATTTAAAGTTATCTGGACAGAGGTCGTTGTTATGAAATACATAGTTTTGTAATTCATGTTCTAAACTTCTATTATCGTTGAGTCATCGTGCATTAACTGTCAATTGTTAATTAAAATAAATGAATGAGGGAGGGGGAGAATAAGGGATTCGAGTAAATTGTTAAAAGAAAAAAAGACTTGCCCTCACCAATCTCACCTTCGGCACGAATACAAGACACAATGTAGTGGTAGAGCAGAAGATGATGAAGATGGAAATAATTATAAAAGCAGCATCTTGCTGCTCTCTGAGGACGAACGAAACAGCTGCTCCAATGACACACATAATTACGACGTTGTAAACACTCATTCCAATATATTTTGAATCATTCAGAGCAGGAATACTCACATGCCGTGTTTCCCACGCCAGGAAGCAACCAAAAGCCTACAAAAATAAAAGAAGTAGACGAAAAAATGCAAAAAAAACACAAAAAACAACTACTCAAATCCAAATATGCATCCATAGATTTTTATAAAGATATATAATATTATGAAAGAACCAATAGTAAAATATACCAAGTTGCATAAAACATGTGTGTTAATTCTTTAAAAAAACCTGGAAAGTACGATAATTTTTGTGACGTGCAAAATCAAATTAAAGAAAAAACAGACAATATTTCTTTGGTCTACAACATAAGCAATAAATTATTCCTATACTTAACAGAAAAAAAATATAAATACCTGAACAAGAAGCTTACTTGATTTTTTTTAGCTTACCATAAGAAGCCCTTTATAAGCATAAATAGAACCAAGAAAAATAGTCATCTTCTGGCTTTTACAAAACTCCATCTTTGGTATGATTACAGAGTCTTCGTTTTCAGGTGATGGCTGAAATATTGTAGATTGAAAGTTTTATATGGCAAAAACTTGCAGGTTTTATAACTTCTTGTTTAAAGTAGAGCTAATGTATATATATATATATTTAATTACTGTTTTCGAATGAATAAATAAACCTTAAGAATTAGTGTTTCAGCTTGAAGTCTACATCAGACGCTATACTTGGAAATATGTACACTAGGAAGATGTAAAGGTTTAAGATTTTCCAACAGTATCGAAGTATAACAGTGAATTATGATGTGTTTCTAAATGCCCGGATCAGTGTAATAGTTGATGTAAACGTACATAAATGTTCTATTAATATCTAACAAATTTCCACAATCCATTGTTACATAATACGGATAAAATATTGATATTTATTTAGATTATTACACAAAAATACATTTAATAAATAAATCAAATCTTTAACACTCTCTGAAAATTGGTATGTCTGAATACAGCATTTGATGTGAGTTTGAGACCATGGGGCTGTGCAATTAAGATTTTCAAATTATCGGAGTTTTATAGCAGTTATTATACATACATTATACTAATGTATATAGAATAACATCTCCTGACCTAATTAACATATAGAATAGCATCCCCTGACCTAACTAACATATAGAATAACATCCCCTGACCTAACTAACATATAGAATAACATCCACTGACCTAACTAACATATAGAATAACATCCCCTGACCTAACTAACATATAGAATAACATCCCCTGACCTAATTAACACATAGAATAACATCCCCTGACCTAACTAACATATAGAATAACATCCCCTGACTTAAGTAGCATATAGAATAACATCTACTGACCTAAGTTACATATAGAATAACATCTACTGACCTAAGTTACATATAGAATTACATCCCTTGACCTAAGTAACAGTGTTTTACATTTCGGTTTGAGTACCATAGCCACTGTTCTTTGAATATTTGAATTGCGCATCTGCTTACTAAGGCAAACTTTTTTTTTGGATGAGTAAACAACAACAACAAAAGTACTCAAGATGTAAACAAGAAAGGCAAGCTATTCAGGTTCCAAAATGGCAGATTCCACAGATGTTTGGATTAGAATGGTAAAATAACAGGTGTGCCACGAGTACCTGTTCTAACTCATTAAACAACATTTCGTATAAAAGCAGTATGAGTAAAATCCGCCTTGGTGTAAACTGTATAGAATGTGAAAGTAGATATATTAACTTGACAAAAAATCTAACTTCAGAGAAAATCTCTTCATATTCACGGTATTTCTGTATAGTCTAACACTGTCTTGTTATCGTGTGAACAGAATGTTATTGGACGTTGATGTAATAAGCGAAATTATAGTAAAT